GAAATATGTACTCATATGCAGTTGTGACTGACGTGTCTTTTTTCTGAATTTATACAAACAATATTTCATTTTATAGTAAATTAGTTTTGTCTAGTTTATGTTTATGAACAGAGACCTACAGATGCAGTTTAGTAAAGGAAACTCATTTGTGAATCTGAGTTTAAAGTTTTTATTAAACTTAAACTTGTAACTAAGTTGCAAATAAATCTTAAACTGAAACTTTGCTTGTTTGCAAAAAGTGATTTCAGAGCCACTCAGTTCTACCTGATGGAAACTGTTTGCCTTCAGTGTTTTGTGCTTATGATAATTTTAATAGACATCAGCGTCACTAATTAATGACATTCTATTAAAAGACTGGTTTACCAAGAGAGACACTGCAGTATTTTCACCTAAAATGAGTTGATGAAGCAGAGACTTGTTACAAAAATGATAATAAGACATCAGAGCCATAATTAATCTTTTAGGACTTGATACTTAAGTACATTTGAAGGTAAATACTTTAGTACTTTTACTCAAGTGGAGGTCTAAAGGGAGGAACTTCTACTTTTACTGTAGTAATATTTTACCTTGGGTATCTCTACTTTAACTCAAGTACAGGGTTTGTGTACTTCGCCCACCACTGCACAATAGCACTTACAGTTGACCTGGGCAGATCTAGCAGTACTTGTCTTACAAGATTTTGTGCTGATAAGACTCTAAACTGCTCACTCTGCACAAGTGGCTGCTACACATGAGCAAAGTAGTAAATCTGTGATAACTGCATGATACAGTTACACAGTGGCACTCAGTGACTGACATCGATATTTTATGACTGTCATGTTCATGTGAAGAGCAGTTGTTCCTTAGGCCGTGGCTATACTACACTATTTGTTTGCCCGATTTTAAACCTGATTTGTCACTTGCAGCAGATTTTCACAATCTGAATAGATTTTCCAGTTTGGGAACTCAGAAGTGACCGACAGAGCGGATTATCTGTTAGTGTTAGAAGAGAAACAAGTGAATCTTTAGCCTTCCAATCGAACTCTGAAGTGATCAGAGGCCCTCCGATATTATCAAGTATGTTTGAAATTTAAGATTAAACATTCATGAGTTTTGCCGTATGAGAAGGTCAGAGATTTACTCAATGAATGATTCAGACAACAGCCAATCAGAGAGCTGGAAGAGCAGAGAAAAAGGTGAAGAGACACGCATACACACCACCTGAACAGCGGAGCGCAGACACAAAATGTCAGGCCAATTTTTCTCATACAAACAGGGATGGACAATAAGGCAAAAACTTATATCACAGTACTTCAAGACATTTTCACCATACGTCATATAAGTCAATCATTTTGTTTTTCTAAGATTTAATACGTTGGAACCAACAAAATAGAACCTGTAGTAGACTATCATGATAATACAGCTACACCTGCAATGATTCCAATTAAATAGACATAATTATACTGACTTTGTAAAGGAATATGTAGTTGGTCAGTGTTGGTTAAGTACTGACGATACCCTCAATATGCTCAGAAATGCATAATGTGACAATTTATCATGATAACAGAAAAATATCATCAGATTGCCCACCCTTATGTACAAAATCATGCTTGAGCTTGGCTTTTATGTGTAGATTTGTTTTATGCTCTCATGCAGTTTGTTTTGCACTCATCTCTCACACACTCTTGTCTCTCTCCTAACTTTATAGTCTGTAACTGCGTTCGGAGTGGAGTTTGAGGAGTGGGTGAACGTGCCCCTGAATGAAACGAGAGATGATGAAAGTGATGTGTGAACGAGCCACGTTAAAACGTGAGATGTTACGGTTATGAAGTTCAGGGCTTGTTCAGGGCTGTAGCCCCACAAGCCCAGGTCAGGGGATGCCTGTTTTAACAGCTGCAAACAATTTACAAGAAATATTGTTTATATGACAATTAATCGTCACCTAAGATTACAGCCCTAGTGATGATATGTAACTATCAACCATCTTCTAAGCCAAACCTTACCTAACCTCTTATTGACCAGGGTATATTTTGGTTTGTCCATCTGAATTAACATGACCAAATCGTAAGGCAAATTATTCAGTGCATGAAATAAATGTACATTTTTATTTTATTTTTTTTTTTTTTGGTAAAAGCTCCCCTCAAATTAACAGAACATGTGTTTTATGATCACACATATTGCTATATGCTTACAATTTACTGCTGAACACCAAAAATCTTAGACGCTCTTTGTATTATTTTATAAAAATAATGTTTACAGAGCAGATCACTGAAGAGACGCCATCTGTTTATAGTTTATAGCTCAGATTTGTGGAAAAATGGGTCGACTTTTAGTAGAAAAAAAAATGTGAGTTCAGCTTCTTTTATTATAAGGGTTTAAAATTACATCACCCATCTATTTGACTGGAAAGAAGACAGTTACAGCTCTCATACGACCCCCACCTTTAGAATGTAGCTTATGAAATATGAAGGTTATGAAGAATATGACCAAGTGCGTTTTGGAACCACCGGTGATCTCAAGGAGTTGAAAAGGCTAAGGAAAAGATTTTGTCCTTTTAGTTTGAAACACACAGCTTTTTAAAAAAGTTTTTTTTTTCCCATATTATTAGGACATTTTTATCCTGAGACAGTACAAAAATAAACATAGTCTCATTCACACGCACAAACACAGACCGCACACAGTTGAGCCCTGCACTGCTGCCATTACATAAATGCCTTATGAATAATTCAAGCGCATGGGCTCACAGTACCCAGACGAGCATTGCAAATAACAGAGAAAACAAAAGCGCATTACTTCAAGTTCCTTTCTCTGGGTGAGCGGCGTTAACAGCAGGGTCTTAAATAAATGTTGTCTCCCGCGGTGTTGAAAGCATGTGGAAGAACAGCGTAGAGCTTGTCACAGGCATCCTTCTCTTCTAATGGAGGTTACAGACTGTTGGCAAAACAAACCGGCGCAGGGGACCCCTCCAGAGCCCTGCGCACCTACTGCATCTCCCACGAACCGAAGAAACTGCTGCACCTGTTACGAGGGGCCAGCTGGGACGTAAATGGTTTCTAAAAGGCCTTTTGTGTTTGCAAAGGGACTCAAGTACATATTTTTATTGCTCTTACAGGGCCAGCAGGGGTCACATGTTGGAGTGACCAAAGCATTCGGTAGTCTGAACAAGGATTACTGTGCACCCGTGGATTTGATTAAAATGCAGTGTATGGCGTATATTGCTGAATTTTCAAAATTTGCTTTCTGAAGTCTCCTGATGGATCATTCATCTTAAAAACAGAGATGCTCATTAAAACATATGGAGTCTATGGACCTATTAGGCTCCTTTAAATCTAGTTTTCAGGGCTGTATTAAGCTAGTGGGCTTTAGGGGCTGCAGCTCAGGACCCCCTGCTACTAGTGGGCCCTGCAAGAAATAGTGCAATCAGAAATATGCTGATGTTCAATGATTTGTCATTTTAAATTATCCAGGTTTAAAGAACAATCCAGCCTAAAACCTGCCATCAACATGGGGAGTTTAATGTTATTTGTCATGTTGTGCAGTATCACTTATTCCAAAAATATCTCTCCATCAGCAAAGAAACAAATTTAAATTGTTTGTTTTATTCAGACATTTGAATATATGCATTACACATACAAACTACAGGGTGGGTGAGCTTTCAGGCCCTTTTCTTTTCTGCTTCTGTTCTTTTGCGCTTTTGGCTGACACACAAACACAAACACACACACTATTTACCGAACTGTACTGAAGTCTACACACGTTCATGCGTTTATTGCTGCTATCATTCCATTATTATTGGCAATAATGCACGGTGCACTTTATGTCTGCTGTCTTATGTCACCTTTATCACCGCTGCTCTCTGTTCTTTGCACAATACCGCACAAGTCATTTTAAATACTAACTCTACCTCTTTATTTACGTGGGGTTTTTTGTCAACAGAGGACGACTGAGTAAGAAAATTTCAGTGTACAGTGTAACCACCTGTTTTACTGTGCATGTGACAGTAAAACTCTTCAGTCTTTTAACCAGTAATTCTTGTTTTCACTATCATTTTTCCTGCCAAAATTTTTGTCCTTTTTCTCTTTCAGACTAAAACCGAAAGGGCCACTTTTGACCGTTTTCAGCTGTAATGTTTTGGTGACCAAAACTTCAGCGCATCCCCAGTCTTTTCTGTTCGTTTGCTGTCAGGTTAAAAATGCAACTCTCCATTCATATGAGTGGTGTTACTACACACTTGCAGGGCCAACATTTTTCTCTTTCTCCGTTTCAAAAAGGAGGATTGTCACCTGCCCATTGTTCTGACCTGAAAGGTTTTGTTTGCCCAGTTTAGATGAAGCGGACTCTGAATAATTGGGTGTCTGGATGGGGTTTGGTCTGCTAAAAGGAAGTTAATGGAAACAGTGACTCATGTAGGCTATAAGAGCAGGGCTCTCAACTGGGCATATCTCTCTGACCCTCATGGCACCAGGGGCCACTCTGTCCCTCTCAGATAAGAAGCCGTCTGGGATGAAAACTGTTGCTGCATGGATGAAGCCGGAACACTCAGTGGTGTGAAAAGGTGAAGAGAATTTGCTTATGTGGCTGATGGACAGGTAGACGAAAGTCCTAAAACTGCCCACATCCATGACATCCATATCTGTAACTGTGTGCCACTGATTTACTTGTGTGTGTGCATATATGGCTTCTGTCATGATTGTGTTTGCCATTAATCAGGGGAGGCCATCAGCAGTGTGAAGACTGATCTGTTTGCCTTTACCTGTCTACAATGATGCGATCAGACAGCCCATCGTCTTTATAGCATTGCTGCCCCCTTTTACCCTGTTCTTCAGTGGTCAGGACCCCCATGGACCCTCACAGAGCAGGTACTATTTGGGTGGTGGATCATTCTCAGCACTGCAGTAACACTGACGTGGTGGTGGTGTGTTAGTGTGTGTTGCTGCAGTATGATCCACCACCCAAATAGTACACTGACAGTAAAAGGGTTAAACCATACCCAGATGTTTAACTACTGGACTGGTACTCACGCAACACCATAACACCATGGCGCAGGGACTGGGCGCGGTTGGGCTCCACGGCAACACTAAGCATGGTGGCGTTGCCCCCGACGACACAGATGCGGTTGTCCTGGGCAGCTTCTCTGAACATGCGCAGTAGCTGACTGGCAATGATGCCGTTCAACACTGAAATCAGCACCATGGGAGCAATGAAGGACAGAAATGCATTCACCTGGTGGAGAGAGAGAGAGAGAGAGACAGAGAGAGAGAGAGAGATATACTGAGAATAAAGGATAAGGGACAAGAGTGCGAGAATATGGTTTCTTAGAGCTCTAAGGACGTGGGTCTAATGTAAGTGTCAATCTTTGTATACATTTTGTATGTATATACACTATACATTCACTGATACCTGTATGGTTTCCAATATTAAAATCAATAGCAGCAACAACTCATTTTAATTTTCCTCCCACAGTCCAAAGACATGTGGTCAGGCATATTTGCATGTTCTGTTTGCATGTTCTCCTTTTGTCTGCGTGGGTTTCCTCCCACAGTCCAAAGACATACGGTCAGGCCATTTGGAGATGGTACATTGCCTCTTGATGTGAGTGTGTGTGTGTGAGTGTGTGTGTGTGTGTGTGTGTGTGTGTGGGGATGTATGTGTCTGTCTGTCTGCCCTGCGATGGACTGGCAACCTGTCCAGGGTATATCCTGCCTTCCGCTCAATGACCGTGGAGATCCAATCCAACCCCCACCCCCATGCCCCACGACCCAGAAGGACAAGTGGTTCAGAAAATGTGTGTGTGTGTGTGTGTGTGTGTGTGTGTGTGCGATACTACTTATACAGAATCAGAAACTTCTTTGTGACACTGTTTGTTCCCTTCACATTGCTGATAACCTAGTGCTCAGCAGGTTCTTATGCTTGTTTATGTTCCACCAGAGACGTGGGAGAATGTTTTACACTGGGGGTGCTGAAATTTTAACTAGCATATGTGATGTAAACTATGCCATGCAAAATAATTAGTATTTTTTTACAGCAGCAACAACTATACACACACACACACACACACACACACACACACACACACACATATATATACTTATATATATTTTCTATGCAAATAAGTGATTAAGCCAATTATGTGGTGCAGTAAACAAGTGTTACACAAATGTCTCTCCCATAGTGAGATTTAACAGTGGAACGCACACTGAGCGGGAGATATAACGGTTAATTAACATCTTTTGCTACATTAGATGATTTTTATTTTCTTGAAGTTGTAAAAACAAAATTAGGCCACTTGAGGGCCGAAGGTCGGCCTATAATACCTATACTTTCTCTCTCTCTCTGCACGTCGGTCTGCTTGTGTTAGTACTACTGTAGTACTGTACCCCCAAAGCGGTCAGCAGTTGGAGAGGGAAACGATTCGGCTCAAATAATTATAAAGTTCAGAACCATTATTATCATTAGCTTTTGCATTCCAGCACAGCAGCTTATCTCGTTTCTCGCATGTTGATATGTTTTGTCTGTATGCAGTGTACGTGCAGTGATACAGCTGCTCACAAATCAGCATGTCTGCACTGCATTCTGAGCACAAAACCTAGGCTAGTATGTTGTATAAAATCAGACAGTGAAAAACAAATCTGGGTACGCCAGAGTTACTGAACTTTAGCCAAGGTTTATAAGGGAAAAATGTATTAGCATATATGTCCCATATTCCAGCCTGTACACTTCTAAAATTGTGGAAAATACAATAAACCATATTGACACATGGTTTAGGCCCTTTTTCTCTGAGTTTTTGTTTTTTTGTTCTATGGTGCTCTGTGGTTAACTGACAAGTTCAAAAGTCTTTGCATTAAATCCTGCATGCAATTTCCCCCCGAATATCACTGTGTTATTTGAATTATGAGGTAAAAAAGTAGGAAATAGTAATAATGCTACGTACGCGTTGCATGCACACTAACACTCTTGCGCATTGAACTGACAACATAAAACTGGCAAACTTAGCAAAACACAAACTGGATAGCCTTGTCGAGTGTGGTGGTAGTAGGCAGGCTGAGTAACTGGTGTTGTTAGTGGTCATGCCTCCTTCGGCCTGGCTGAAACTACAGGCAACGGGGCCACCAGGGACTCCAATTCCCAGAACTCCTTGCTGCATCAGATGACTATGGACTCTCACCAGTCCACCTATCTGCGCTTCTCATGTCTCATGTTTATGACCCGTATCTTGTTTATGATCTTGATGTTTGCCTTGCGCTTTTGTCTATGTTTAAATCTCTGGTTTTCGACTGTGCTTTTGGATCAGGGTCAATTCTACAGAAACTTCCATTTTAGTGTCCCTAGCATTTACAGATATATTACACTTGAAAAACATGTTGGGGTTACAATTTAATTATATTTTAAAATAAAACAATAAGTTATTTTAACAATTATACCTTCTTGAGTCGTCAATTTAGCAATACTGGTTTTTAAATCAGTCATATAGAATTCCAAGCACCACAGAAGAGCTCGTCCTCACAGTCATGTGTAAAGGCTGAGGCCATATTTTGAAGTAAAAAACATGTTTTTCTGCTATTTTAACTGTAATCTATAAAAAATCTTATGAAATCTATATATGACTATGGAATATATAAATTAAATGACACAGAGAAAGCAAACGCCAAATAAATATTATAAAATATATAATGAAAGTTCCCCAGGAGTCATGTCACTGGTGTTACTGCATAACAAAAATCTTTTATTTTGAAATAAAAATCACACTGATGACATCACTCGACTTCCTTTTACCTGTTTTCTGAGGATCTATGAAGAAAAGCACATGGTGAGTCCACTGTGTCTTTCAGTTATCAGAGATTTTCTCATTTAGCTCATGATTTCATATGAAGCTTTTAGCTGAAGTCACTGGTGTGACCGACTTTATTCTGAGGTAATTGTGAATAAACAGAATACAAATGGATTAAATTACATATTTTAGTGGATATTCCATGATTGACAACATGTGGTTTGATGGTCTGTAAAATTATTTTGTAAAATGCATTGTTCATTAAAAATGTCTCTGGTGTTCCCTTTCTTATGTGTAACACCAATGAGGATCAGTAACACCAGTGACTCCTATGGATAGATAGAAAAGTGGACGTTTCTGTGGAATGACCCATCAACCCTTTGCTATTAAACTTCATAACTCAAGCCTCGTCCGGTTCCGTCTGCCACCATTACATTAATGGTGTTAACAGCAGCACTACTAGATGTAGAAATACTTTCGTATAACTTAATTGTCAGTTAAATGCACAGGAATATTAGCTTATTTGTGGCATATATGTAGCAATTTTAGCTACCGGTTGACTTTGTAATTCAGAGGACATGGTGACGTTCAACCAGCATGTAAAAATTTTGCTTACCACTAGAGGTGATAAGGGGCAAGGACTAATTTGGGCTTCTTGCAAACTAATCAAGTCAAGTCAAAGTTTATTTATATAGCGCTTTTTCCATCAAAAGGAACTTTACAGAAAAAAAATCCGGGTCCGAGCCCCCATGAGCATCACCAGTGGAGACAGAGGTAAGGAAAAACTCCTTAAGAGCAAGAGGACAAAACCTTGAGAGGAACCAAGACTCAAAAAGGGAACCCATCCTCCTCTGGTCGACTCCAGACAGCAAACAATAACAGCAGAAACTGAGATTTGACCATTAATAAAAATACAGAATGATGCATGACCTCAGAGGTCTGTCAATTTCAAAAAGCATGGGACATATTTATCAGACTTTATTTTATTTTTCCTATTGATTTTGTGAAACACTGGACATCACAATAAGTCTCTTGAATTAAAATCTGCTTATGCTCTGATGATCAGCGGATGATCTTTTATGAGTGTCTGGAATTATTAAGTCACGATCGATGCACTCATTAAAAGTAGCTCAAGAATGAACCATGCATGAAATTAGTGCTTTGTAGAACTGCAGTGAAATGACCTGCTGCACACACGAATGGCATAAACTACAGCAGGAAAAACATGGCCTGACCTCTCTAATGAGTTCAGTGACACCTCTGCAGAAGACTGCATTCCTAATGTGGCGTCTCTTCAGTGTGTTTATGTTTGTATTTGTTTTTTTTTTCCTTTCACTTCAGTTGTTGCTTTATAAGAGCAATTATTATTTTACAGGTTAGTGGTATCTCACCTGCTTTTATTTTGACTTGGGTTTGGACATAATAATGGAAACCTAACCCACTAATTATGACGCATTGAATAAAGAATAAGGTCACCCTTTGTCCTTCAAATTCAGAGCAGCTTCAGTCCTTCCTGCAATGCTGCCTTGCAAGTTCTGAACTGGTATGTACTGGGACACTAGTCTATTCTTGGGGAAAAAAGGAATGAATGAGGTGGAAATTCGCTTCACGCTCCAGAACATCTTCTAAAGGTTCAGTGATGTTTAGATCTGGTGACTGAGGAGGCTGTAGAAGGTACTGGCTGCATTCTTGTATTCAAACCTCAACAAGATCTCTTCCCATACCATTATGGATTCACTACTGTGTTTATAATAGTTAGCAACAGTTGGCAACAAACTGTAGACCTCAATGTTTTCCACAGTTCAGGAGTTCCTGGATACAACAATTCCAGATTTGTAAATCTCTATACACACATCTGTGAGGGTCACAACATGCTAATTTAATTCTGAGAGAATGCAGAGATCCTATTACAAGCCTGTCTATTGCCATCGGTGGGCTTTGGAACATTTGTGCCCCCAACTCTATTAGTTGCCTCAGAGTTCCAGGTATTATATATTTCTTGTTAGTTTTGATTGACATGCGTCTTTTAAAGGTGACACAGAGGATCGGCTCTATTTTCCTCCAGAGGCTAACTGATAGCAATTACCGCAAAGCCGTCTACATGATAGAAATTTATAACTGGCTAATTTGTGTATTATTGGATGGTCGTTATCCAGTTACTCGGGACAACATAATGGTACAGTAATATCCCAGAATTTGTTTGTGGGCCCCCTGGTGGCTGCAGGGCCCTAAGCGGCTGCTTATATGACTTATTAGGTAAAGCCAGCAGTTTTGGCCATGTCAGATCATTGCACAGCAGTGTTAACTTGCATATCACTGTTGTCGGAAAAAAACCTCGGTAACTTTACAGGAGAAGGAAAAAACCTACTTTACTTTTAATGTAAGTCAATGGAACCAGACTTTTTTCCAAGTCATTTTGGGTCGTTTCTTTTGGTCTATTCTTCATGAAATTTAC